AATAATGTCGCTAAAATCATGAAAATACCGAATATCGGGGGGTACCTGTCTGTCTTAAGCCGAAGTAGCCATTACGAACTTCAAATACCAAATTTGAAACAATTCCGGTAAATAATGTCGCTAAAATCATCAAAATACCGAATATCGGGAGGTGTCGTTATATGGAGGCTATACGAAGACGTTGACCTACTTGGCTCATATTCAATACCAAAAGTCCTGCAGACATAATACACATTTGGGTAAAATTTTATCAACCTACTTCATTTCGTTCGGAAGCTAGAGTGATTTCCACAGACGGATAGACGGACGGACATCGCTAAATCAACATAGAATTTTATGCTGGTCAAGAAAATATATACTTTATGGGGTCTAAAATGTATATTTCGAGGTGTTACAAACGGAATGACAAAGTTAATATAGCATTCTTAATATGGTGGAGGGTATAAAAATGGTGCTCTGTGTTGTTGTCGATTTATGCCAAATCGAAATAAGCTATTTCCTGAATTGTGGTTCCTTCTTTAAATCAATATCACACATCTACAAAGTTTGCACATTCAAGTATTTCTAGATCTAGAGTGAATATGGGGTACATCGATCCTCTCCGTCTGTAAGTACCAAAACATATAATCGTCACCAGATGTCCACTCAAACACTCTCCATAATTACTCCCAACAACTCATTTGACAAGGCTGGAAATTGGGTGTATGTATACTGAACATACCATTAGAGTAAAGTAAATAAGAACTTTTGAAAAAGTTCCTAATTTCGAATCCTCTGTCTCCCATAATTAATGTCTAGTAGGAATTGAAAAATAAAAACCAATATCGCATATACCTCTTCTTTAGCTATAAGATTAAAGAATTCGCTGATGCCTCAAAAGGTAAGCGAATATAAATTAATTAAAATTAAAATAAATTGCTGCAAGCCTTCAATGAAATAAATCAAGAAAAGAGATTAAATTCAAATTGATATGGGTTTTATATAAAATATAAATTTACTAAAAACCAGTAAGCACTTAAGTCCGAAGGATATAAAATACAAACGTTTTGTTTCAAACCTGGAGAATAAATAAATCCAGCAAACCTGGAAAAAAGTGCAAAAAAAAACGGAAACAACTCAAACCAATCAAGGGATAAACAGCAAAAAAACAGCAGGGCATTCGAGAGCCGGCACAATAAATACTCATTAAGGATGTCATTTGAGAGGCAATAAACACAATGTGGCTATATCATGCAACAGCTGTAAAAGACACACGTACACAGCCACACACACACCTACACGCTTACGTTTTCACTTCATCTCCGAGCAAATGGTGTGAAGACACGAATCCAACACGCATTTACTTGTTGGATTTACACCTCTTCAAAATCTCTAAATCAAATATGTCACGATGCTGGGGGCATGGATGGTAAAGTGGGGAGGGGCAGTGGACTCAAACTACTCGTTGGCCAAAGCTATAAAACCAAAGATTTAAGTGCGTGGGTGTGTTTGCCAGTTAAAATTTTGGTTGTGTTGCTGTTTTCGGGTTTTTTCTTTCGTTTCGTTTCATTTTGACAACAGATATCTGCTAATGTTTGATGTTAAAGGTAATCCGTAGCCCAAACACTAACCAATGAATGACAAAGAGGAGTAACCAACCAAAGGCCAGAGAGAAACGAAAAAAACGTGTATTTAAACCCAGCAAATGCTTTGCGAAAATCCTTCGACACAAACGGCGAGCAAATTTATAGCATCATCACAAATGCTATTTGGGCAACGTGCTTTGCATGAGACCACAATCGAATCAAATCAACATTAGCTGAAACACCAAAGGGGGCTTTCGGCACCACCACCTACATCAATGTCAGACCAGCCATGTCATGGCAAACGAACGTCCATCCCCCTGACATGGGGAACACTCACATTGAGTGGCTTTAATCCAGCTCCACACACACACATACAAGTATACATATTGAGGCCAAAGTGAGAGGCTTACCATAACAAATTCAACAAAGCATTTAAAATCCTTTCCAAGTCGCAACGAAAGAAAGAAAACAACAACAACAACTTTGTTTATATTTGGACAGTTTGTTTGTTTGTGTTTTTTCGTTTTTCTATTTTCTTTTTCATTGCGCTATGACTTCAATCGTGACAATGTCCACTCTCAGACTTAGTCTTTGGATTTTCAAGTAAATTAAGCAACAATTTGAAATGGGAAAGAAGGGTAGAAAAAAAGTCTGAATTTAAAGGCAGCTACAAAATTTTAAGCTATTTCAAAGGCCTTTACCACATTATCACTAAAATTTGTTCATTTTTATTCATGAGTAAACTTTGATCCCGAGCTGGAGTGTTCGTTTTACATAAAGTTTGCTCCCCACTCATTTATTTTGGGTTTAAGTGCTCACCATTTACACCTGTTTAAAAAATTAGAATGGTAATCGAGATGCTCGATATAGAGTTCGAGTTAACTCTTAAAGTGAAATCGAGCGGCAAAACTATTTGTGTGATATTCGTATTCCTATACTAAAGCCAAGAAGAAGGAAGTAAAAAAGCAGTAAGGCCGGGAAGAAATTGGAACCACTTAGAGCAAATTTGGAAATTTACAAAACAATAAAATAATAATAATAATAATAATAATAATAATAATAATAATAATAATAATAATAATAATAATAATAATAATAATAATAATAATAATAATAATAAGTATAATAATAATAATAATAATAATAATAATAATAATAATAATAATAATAATAATAATAATAATAATAATAATAATAATAATAATAATAATAATAATAATAATTATAATAATAATTATAATTATAATAATAATAATAATAAAAATAATAATAATAATAAAAATAATAATAATAATACTAATAATACTAATAATAATAACAATAATAATAATAATAATAATAATAAGTAATAAATAAGAATAAAAGAAGTAAAAAAAGTAATTCCGGCCTGGCCGAGCTTTTAATAACCTCCACCTTAGGGTAAAGGAAACATTAGAATCCATTGCGACCCACAAATAGACATATTCGTGGGAAATTGTCGTAAAAATCATCATAATACCGAATATCTGGAGGTACCGTGATATGGGAGCTACACCAAAACGTGGACCTATACATACAATGTTTCGCCACCGCAGCCAGAACCCAAGATACTTAAAAAAATATTTAGAAATATCAAGTTTCCTTCTCTATCTTTCGAATTATCTTCTGCAACCAATATTTCCAAAAAGCCTACAACTATAAAAAAACATTTAAAAATCCAAAAAATGGAGTCGATTCATACATGTCACTTCGTCCGTCTGTCTGCATTTTGAACAAAAGACAGGTCGCATTTATTATCCGATTGAGATGAAATTTTGCAAACAATATTTGTTTGGCCAAAGGACGAATGCGTTCAAATTTAGATATAGCTCCCATGTCCGATTTCGGGTAAATTGTGCACCAAATGACCAATATCAGTCCAAATGAGTTAAAGTCCCTCACGTGCGAAGTCTAAGTCGATTCATGCATATTAGTCCGTCCGCCTGTCTGTATTTTTAACAAAATGAGATGAAATTACAATATTTGTTTGGTCAAAGGACGAACCCTATTGAAGTTGGTGAGAATCGGTTCAAATTTAGATAAAGCTCCCATATCCGATTTCGGGTTAATTGTGCACCAAATGGTCACATGCGAAACATACATTCAACAACAATGATCTTTGGTAACAGAGTTACAGCTCAGAAATAGGTGCCTCGTACCATCGCTCATTACTGTAATACTGGTAGCGTAGCCCGACGTCAAGGAAGTGGACGGAAGAAACCAGCAATGGTTCGAAAAATGTAAAGAACTGACTTGATCGAAACCCGCACCGCAGTGGCTGAAAAATGGCTCGTGAGCTGAAAATATCGCAATATTCCATTCGCAAATATAAAAAAATGAACTCGGGGTAAAGCCATTGAAATTCCAAAAAGTGCAAGAACTTACACCGCAACTGAATGAAAATAGACTCAAAAGAGCAAAAAATTTGTTTCGCTTGGCCGAAAATGGTGAACTGCCGAATTTGGTTATTTCCGCTGAGAATCCTTTTGTTGTACACCAGTTTATAAACAAACAAAAAGATCGTGTTTACTTGCCAAAGAGGTCAGCTAAAAATGTCCACCTTCGGTTGGCCACCAAAACAGAACTCAAGCGCCAGCCATGGTGATGGTGTGGGCCGCCATAACAGTCGCTCTTCGCTCGTATTATCGTATTAATCGACAGTGGCATCAGAATAAATGCCCAATATTATCGCGAAAATATTCTGAGGGTGCCTTTGGCAAGCAAACATTTTGGCCGCAGACCTTCTACATTCCAATAGAACTCAGCACCATCACACTCAGCAAGGGCCACCTAAGAATGGTTACAAAATGAGGTTCCTCGCTTCATTTCCAGCCCACAATGGCCACCAAAATCTCCGGATACCAATCCGTTGGTCTATTGTATCTGGAGTATTTTTGAAAGCAAGGTTGGCATTAAAGAATATCAAAGTGTCGATCACCTCAGGCAAGCGTTTCGCCTGTAATGGGCCAAAATACCTCAGAGCAACATTCGGGCAGCGTGTGACTGTTTTATTGGCCGTTTGAAGGTCATATTTCATACCAAAGGTGACCATTTCGAAGAAATCTAAACTTATTCTAAAACTTGATGCTATTTCCGATAATTTTTGCTTCATTCCAAAAAATTAAAAAAAAAAAGTAAAACATTGGCCCATTCCTTCGGAACCTACTTCATAGAGGGTCCAAAACACAACAGAAGTTAGAATATATTTACATAATCGAATCATATGAAGGTGCCCATTCAAGCAATTTTCTAAAATATTTGGCTCTTATTTAGTATTTAGGTTTCTTAGGGAGTAGAATACCTACATTTTGAATGTAGATTAATGCTTTGGAGTATTGCTTATATTAAGGTACCTCCCGGTTTCAGCTAGTTTTAATCGAATGTGACTAAAATTTGATAATAAGCTGTCTTCCTGCATAAGATTTTTAATATAGGTATATATTTAGGTATAGCCCGCATATATGGGTTTCACCCCACCGATGTTGTCAGGGAATGGTAAATTCCAAATACAGGTGACGGTATTAGATCACTACAGTAATACTCCGAACGGGTTTTTAATTCACTGGCTAATTTTGTATTTCACGATATGGCCCCGCATATCAGTATGGTGAGTCCACATTTCCAACCAATATTCTCGGGAGACGGTATCCAGCCTTTCATTACCATCAAACCGAACGCCAATGAAACCACACAACTCATGATCCGAATCTTCTGTACTAAATCAAATTGCCCATGTGGGAGTAATCTTCAATGGCAATTTTAGAAATCAAACTGAAATGAAAAATAAGAATATATTCTTTACAATATATATTTCCGATTTTCTTGTAGCTCTCCCCAAAAAAGAAAGAAATAATGATTGCCTTAAATTTTGTAGAAGAAAAGTCTTCTAATACTTTGAACAGATTGAAAAAATTAGACAATTTTAATATTCCACGCTGCCACTATACGTTCACCATGACAGTCACCCATTTGTTTCTATTTTTTTCTCCATCAATTGTTTTGGCTAAAATTCTTCCCATTTATTTTATTGTTCCTTCTGTTATCACCAATTACCGAAAGAAACTTTTCGTCCTCCGGAAAAAAAAAAAACAAATTCCAGGCAGACATTAAAATTCCTATGCCCAACAATGTTGCCTCCTTGCAATTTTAGCCTTTATTTGATGGAACAATTGTTTTCTCTCTCTCTTTTTTTTTGGCTGGAAGATTTAATGCACTTCCGTGTGTTGGAATACATACACAGTTGGCGAATGGGATCGTGTGAGTGTATGTGTTATTCTATGTATTTGGGAATGTGTATAGAAAAGTGGCTATGTGGTTAAAATGGCATGTGCATATGTATGTATGAGAGTGTGTGTGGCTTAAAACTTGTAACAATTCAGAAAATCGCCACCATAAAATGTTCAAGGAGAACATTGCTAAAAGTTTGAAATAGTTGTGGATCATTACACGGAGATAAAGCCTAACAGTTAAATGGTACATGAATGCAGAACGATGAAGGGAATGCCCATGGAAAACAATTGAATAGATTTTTCCTGCTAAAGGTTGACATTTAAGATAAGAAATTGTTGGAGTGGTTGGAGTTGTAGATATTGAATTGTTTGAAATTGGAGCTTTATTCCGTTTTAAAGATAAGAAAGTTAATGTAAAGTTTAAATTGTATATATTATAAATGAAAAAGCGATACGAAAACTATTGAATTCGGAATGAAGAAAATGAATTTGCGGTAAGGAGGAAAAAATTATCCACACATAAGCCAAATTTATGCGAGGGACACGTATATTGTATACAAGTATAGTTAGAAGTCGGGTCATCCAGATACTAATAACATGAAGAACCAATAAGGAAAGGTCAAAAGTCGAGCGGGACAGACCATATGATATCCTACACTACTATGCGTATTTAGTAGAACTCCCATAACAAACAATGTTTATATTGGGAATGTTTTTCAAGTAGATTATACCAACTATGAATTCGGCTGAATATGAAAAATCTATCCAATTTCGGCTGATATTACATATATGGTGGACAATAACCGTAAAGCGGATGAAGATGTATATCGAAGGCATATAAAAATCTGAACCGATTTCAATAAAATTTAGATGAGGTATTATTGAGCTGTATCTGATGTCAGGTATTTAATTATTATTGTTGTGGAGTGCCAAATTGAATGAATCATATATATGGGACCTATATATATGAACCGATTTTCACCGACATTTGAAGCAATTGCTTCTGTGCTGAATTCCGTCGGAAGTGCCAAAATTCAGTCCATTTGGGCTGATATTAGCCATTTAGTGCACAATAATCCTGAAATCGGATAAAGATATATATGGTAGCTATATCCAAATTTGAACCGATCTTAACAAAGTTTTAGGCGGTAGTTGATATCTGGTACCAAAGATCGTTGTTGTGGTGTGCATATTACGCATGTGAGGGACATAAAATCCCAAATATATGGGAGCTATGGGAGTTAAGCATATATAGTTAAACATGTATATAAATATATTTGAACCAATTTGCATAAAATTAGAGGTACTTGCTTCTAGACTGAATTCGGTCGGAAGTGCCAAAATTCAGGTCATTTGGACAGATATTGGCCATTTGGTGCACAATTAAGCTGAAATCGGTTAAATATTTATGTGGGAGCTATAAGACTCGTCCTTGGGCCAAACCGAACATGTCTAGAAAAATTAATCTCAATTGGATAAAAAATACGACCTGCACTTTGTTACATGGAGTGACGGACGTATAGACGGACTGACATGCATAAATCGACTCAGAAAGTGATTCTATGAAGATCCCATATTTTATGGTTGTATTTAAAATATTCAATATATACCCGAAGTTATTAAATATCTTACAATTAGTATTGAAATATCTCAAAGACCTCAATTTTTTATATTTTGCTTTGTCTGTGATTATAAAAACAAAGTTTTGGGAATTCGTATTAAAATGCTACGCAAAGTACTAAGCTGTAGTGAATATGTAAGAATAATGGGCAAGGCTAGAATTTCAAAACTTGGATTAAGGACACTTTGTTTAATCGGTTGATGGACATTTTAGAAATTATTAAACCTAGTATGATGTCATAAATATTGAGTGAGGGTAGCTAGGAGTTTTGTAGTTTAGAAAGGGGGGCGTAGTGCGTTCAAAAATTGGCTTTTGAATTTCGTACTTAAATACTGCGAAAACTGCTAAAATTTGTTGTCAAGTAAATCATATCGGCTTTGTCCGTTATTAAACACATTTTACGGCTAAAGAGCGGTGGAAATTTGAAATCAAAGAGAACTTATGTATGAGACATACATCTTATCCAGAATCAATTTTCACTATATTTTACTGAGGAGTTTTTCCATACAATACTACAGGTGAGAATACATAAGTCTTCGCATGGCATATTTTGTGACATATCATAAAGGGACGCCCTTTATAATTTGACACTAACTTTAATTGCTGGGCGTATTTTATGTTTGATTTGGTGAAAAAGTTTTTAACACCTCGAAACATTGATCCTAGGCCCATCATGTGGGCCTATATCTTCACGCAATACCCTACTTGCGAGTAATACCACTTAGTACTTTCGGAACGAATATAGTACACATTTTCTAACCCACCTCCACATCTCAAGCACAGACGTCAAGAGTGACCTTGACATAAAATTGCGGAATTCCAGTTCTATCTATTCACCACAATTCCAATTAGCACAAATTTTAGCACCACTCAGTACACATTTCTATGACAACCTGCATCATACAATAGCAATCGTAATTCCATATATTAAGATTCCAAGCCTATCGGTTTACCTAACTCCTAACTACCAAATTTAATACTATTTAATACTAAGTACTAATTTCGAAAGCTTCCTACATACTACAATCCTCCAATTCCCACAGTAACTCCAATACTCAATTTCAGGATTTCATACCTAATGGTACTAATTTCCTACAAAATCCAATCTTATACTCCAACAGTAATCTTAATTCCAAATCTTAGGATTCCAGCTCTATCGGCCCACCTAAATCCAAATAGTGTCATTTAGTACACTAAAGTACACATTTTCATTACTGCCAAAATTATAAAATCCAACAGAAATCTTATTACCAAAATTCAGGATTCCAACTCTACTTGTTCACCAAAAATGTAAAATGTACCACATTAAAAATACCACATTTCCATTTAGTACGAATTTCCATAACTACCTACATGCCTCGTACAATGCAATAGTAATTTTATTTCCAAATTTCAGAGTTTCAACTCTATTTGTTTCTCCCAAATTTTAAATTATACTAAATTTAGTACAATTTGGTACACATAAGTACGAATTTCCAAAAACTATCTGCATTTCCAGCTGTATTGGTTTACACGAATCGAAATTGTATCAAATTTAGTACTATTTTGTAATTTTCGTGTAAGTACACATTTCGAAAACTTCCTCCATATCCCACTCCTACAATCCGCCAGTAATGTTAATTTCAGAATTCCAGCTCCATCCGTTCCAGCAATCGGTCAGCCAATTACTTTATTTTTTTATACCCTACAACACTATTTGTTGGGGGTATTATAAGTTTGATTGGGCTAAAAATTATGCAACACCTCGAAATATTGGTTTCCCACATAGGAAAGTATATATGGATCTTCCTATCTCGCCGAGATGAGTCGATCTAGATATGTATGTCCGTCCGTCTGTCCATGTTAATTTATTATTAATAATCCTGAACCGATCCCCACGAAATTGAAAATAGAGGTAGGGTTAGGGTCAGAATATAATCCTATTGCTTTTGGAGATGATCGCACGATATTTAGGGGTTGAAATGGACCAAAAACACAAAATTTTCCTGATTTTGCAGTTGCTCTATAGGCCACAATTATGAACCAATCGACACGAAAATTTACATGGGGTTAGAGTTTAGGACTGGGCAGAAACCTACCAATTTGGGCGGCCATCGGACAATAGTTAGCGGGTAAAATAGACCCTAACTTTTATGTAAGAAAATAGGAAAATTTCCATTAAACCGCGAATATTTTTAATCCCAGCCAAATCGCAAATACATTAAAAGATCACTTCTGACCATGCTAATAGCCAAGAAATCGGATATATAGCAAAAAGGAATTTATCTTATCAATTTTGCTTATAAATCAAATACCGCTAGGCCGATTTTCACAATTCCCATCAATTCGGAATGGTCTCTTGCCAGAAAACGATAAAATCTAAGAAAATCGCGGAAAAATGTACCAATAAAAAAGGGAATATCTTTTGTCGATTTTGTTTTTCAATTTTTGTCATATTTTTTATCGCATGAGATTTGTTCAATTTGACTTACAATTTTGATTTGTAAATTTTCTAAATTTTTACACCCCCAACACTGCGTTTTGAGGGTAATATATGCAATTCGCAAGTATCATCCCATCCTCACGAAATGTTGCTATTGTTCTTAAGATGTACATTTAGAGGTTCAAATAGACTAAAAAAAATAATTTTTTCTAATTTTGTAGTCGCTCTATAGGCCACAATTGAAAACTAATCGACACGGAATTCCGCATGAGAAGAGAGTTAAGGACAAGGAAGAAGTCTAGCATTTTGGATGACCAATGGATTATATTTAGCTGTAAAATGGACCACAAATTTCGTGTGAAATAGTTTTGAATACTTAACAACACTACGAAGTGAGTAAATATTGGCCAAATTCTCCGGGTCCAAAACCTAAGGGCAACCTCTGGGTAGGGCTCTTTGACATCATTTCAAAAGCGAAATCTTCCAAAATGGATTAGGATATAAGGGGACTTCGAACATATTGTTGTGTCGTAGGGTATCACATTGTCGGCCCCGCACGACTATAGCCTTTGCTTTCTTGTTTATTAATGTAGATTAAATTAAATACACGGACATTGACTTAGGGTATACATGACATGTTGACTAGACAGACTGACAATTTTTACTTGTTCTCGTTCAAGTTGGTATATAAAAATAATTTTTTTTTTAAATTTAAAAAAAATTTTAATTTTTTTTAAAGGGACTATATCGACCCATATTTAAGTCTCTCTCTCATAAAACGACCCCATCTGATTTTCGGTATTATAAGTTTAGTAAGGTTTAATTTTACATTTGGGGTTCTCCTCATTTTTCGTCAAAAAATGTCCTCCTATCAGACATGAGTCTCTTAAAAGATTCCCTTGTCCTTTTGTGGCTCAATGAAAACCTCCAATGGTTCATAGTCGAAGAAAGTATTACAATTATATTTTACAAATTGAATAGTTTTCAATCCAAAATTAGATCGGCTTCCGATGCGAACAAAACAGTTAAGTTTATTCGATCTAAAGTGTTGATCATTTGAAAATTACTCAAAATGTGAATGTTTAAAACGTGGGATAAAATCCGATTTAATTGCAAATAATGTTGAGTATTGATGTGATTTTAAACAGTTGATATATGAAGTGACCAAATTAATTAATGGACTTACCCAACTATTCCCAAACAGATAAAATCAAAATTAATTTCATATGTCACGACCATTTAGATGATGTAATACTCGAGTGTGTTTTGAGATTCTGATAGCAAATGATGAAATGCAGGAAAGGCCGCCTTAATATTTCAACAGTTTGTTGGGAATTGTTTAAGAATCTTCAAAAATGCGATACGTTAATTTCCGGTATGAGAACAATTCTAATTCTTCGTAACGCCGATATTTCTGGCAGCCAATGTTGATTTTCGTCTTTTAATCTCAGCAGATAATGGAAAAATCGAATAAAGTGTCCATTGGCGGTAGTTCGCCCAGAAGGCAAAAATATTAATATTCCGTGTAGTTTTCGCAGCTAGATTCCCAAAAAGAAATATTCTTCCAGAAATGAAATATTCTTCCAATTCCTTTTCAAATATTTTGATAGTATTCTTTGGAGGAGAAAATTTTAAGTTTGACAAAATATTTTTTTGGCCTACTCTTTGTAGAAACAACACGTACAACCTGAATTCTGCAAAGTGCCAAAAGGACTTATTCATAGATTCATATTATCCGTACTCATATAACGTGGCTGCAATTTGAAATTTTGAATCTCAACAAGCAGAAAGGCCTCAAAGGTAACTCATCGAAATACTCTCATTAGACTCATAATGTATATACAGGGTGAGATGAAAAAACTGCAACCAACTTCAGACTGAACATGTCGCAATATTCCATTCGGCAAATATTGAAAAATGAGCTCGGGGTAAAGCCGGGGTAATTTCCAAAAAGTGCAAGAACAGAAAGAAAATAGACTCAAAAGAGCTAATGAGTTGCTTCGCTTGGCCGAAAATGTTGAACTGCCGAATTTGGTTTTCTCCGATGAGAAAACTAACGAATGTTTTCCAGCAGTTTGTAAAGAAACAAAATGATTGTGTTTACTTGCCAAAGAGGTTAGCTGAAAATGTGGAGCTTCGGTTGGACACCAGAACTCAAGCGCCGGCCATGATGATGGTGTGGGTCGCCATAACAGCCTATGGTCGCTCTCCGCTCGCATTAATAGACCGTGGCATCGGAATAAATGCCGAAAGTTATCGCGAAAATATTCCTTGGACACGCAATAATTTTGGCCGCAGACCTTGGACATTCCAGCAGGACTCAACACCATCGCACTCAGCACGCGACACCCAAGAATGGTTACAAAATGAGGTTCCTCGCTTCATTTCCAGCGCAGAATGGCCACAAAAATCTCCGGATACCAATTCGTTGGACTATTGTGTCTGGGGTATTTTGGAAAGCAAGGTTGGCACTAAAAATACCAAAGTGTCGATCACCTCAAGCAAGCGCTTCGCCGGAAATGGGCCAAAATACCGCAGAGCCACATTCGGGCAGCGTGTGACGGTTTCATTGGCCGTTTGAAGACCATAATTCGTGCCAAAGGTGACCAATTCGAACAAATCGAAACTTATTCTAAAATTTGATGCTATTTCCGACATGTTTTTGCTTTCATTCAATAAAATTAAGAAAAAAAATTTAGTGTTTGATTTTGTTGCAGTTTTTTTATCTCACCCTGTATATATACTTGATAAATATACAATTTTAAGTTGATTGAGGAATATCGAACTTATTTCTTGTTTATTTTCTTACGTATTTTTTGTTTAACCCATTCCTTACGATGTTTTTATTTAAAGCTTCTATTTTAATTAATTTCCGTCGATGACACTCAGCGTAGCTCAAAATATATTTTTCCATATCCACAGCCATTGGGTTAACGTCTGACCCTTTTCAATGAATCAAATTGCTTCATCAGCCGCAATTACTTTCAATTCTTACCCGAAAGATAAACCTCAAGTGGATTTCTTAATACCCACATCCTTCGGTTGTTTTATTTTATATTACTTTTTACGTTAACCTTCTGTTTTCGTTTAAATCAATACAAAACCAGCAAGGAAAGGTCAGAAGTCGGGCGGGGCCGACTATATGATACCCTACACCACTATGCGTATTTATAGAGCTCCCGCAACAAAAAAGTAAACATTGCGAATTTTATAACTTAAAAAAATACAAATCAAGCATTTTCCACTTATATTATTTAATGCCGACATTAGGAACAGAAAAAAAATATTTGCCAGTAGTCGGCATGGGGTGCCGATTACTAGAAAAATATCATTTTTCACCAATTTCACCAAATCTTGAGAAAAGTATTAAAAAATAATCCAAAAACCATTCAAATAAATACATATTTTTTACTCGGCAGTTGCTTTTATTTGTGCTTTTTGACCAACTTTTCTAATTTTTTTTTAATCAGCTATTTGACGTTTTAGATCGCGGGGTCATTTTTGAAAAAAAAAAAAAATGTTAGCTATCTAAAGGAAAAAGATCAATTCACAAAAATACGGCAAAAAAAGGAAAGAAAGAGGAAATATGCAGTTCTTGCAACGACGAACTTGATACGGAAAACGATGTCCCTCAAAAACTTAGGATGTGATACCTGTCCGAAATGGTACCATTTACAATGTACAGAATTCAAAAATCGTCGATACGGTGAAAATGTTGAACTAGAGCAAAAATTAATAAGTTAAACATCAATTAAAAAAAATCCTTTGTGAAGACACCTATGCACCTATGACTTACTTGATTTTATTTTAATGTTTAAGTTTAAGTTAAACCCAAATGAATTAAAAACAGTACCTAGATCAAAATACAAAATGAATTCCAAATATAAGAAAGGTACTTTTTTCTTTATTTATTTAATCTCATTTTTTAAATGAAAATCCATATGTTACTAAAGGTAACCATACTATTTTTGATTTTCTACATATATTTGGTTTAGAATGATAATTAAATAAAACTCTATTTAAAAACAAAATTAATTTCAAATTCTGGATTAAACTATTAATTATTAATATAACATTGTTTTATACTATTTAAAATAAAAAGAATATAGAAAATAATATTTTTGTTTTTTGCTGAAATACAATATGCCGACTACTGGCAAATAGACATGCCGAGCATTGGAAAATGGTGCCGACTACTGGCAAAAAACCACTATTTTAGTAAAATTGCATATTTTGCCAATTTAATAAAAACAAATTCAATTTTTGTTTATTATTTCAAAAACTAAACAAAATTTGGAATCTGAAGAATTTTACTTTTCTGCAATTGAAAGATTTCACTTAGAATGCTGAAAGATTGAAAAATCGAAAATCCTAAAAGGGCCGACTACTGGTACACTTACCCTACCAAGTTTCAACAAATGGTAAAATTCGGTTGAATATGAAAAAATCTATTCAAGTTGGGCTGATATTACATATATGGGGAGCAATATCCGTAAAATCGGAAGAAGATGTGCATCGAAGCTATAAAAAAAAACTGAACCAATCTCGATCAAATTTGGCAGAGGTATTTCGAGCAGTATCTGATGCCCGGTATCTTTGTTGTGGAGTGCATATTACGCATGTGGGGGACTTTAACACCAAATCAGATGAAACATATATATAGAAGCTATAGCTATATCTGAACCGATTTTAACCAAGATTTGAATCAATTGCTTTTACGTCGAAATCCGTCGGAAGAGTTAAAATTCGGTTCATTTAGGTTGATATTAGCCATTATTTGCACAATAAACCTGAAATCGGATTAAGGATATATATATGGGAGCTATATCCAAATCTGAACCGATCTTGACAAAATTTGGCAATGGTATTTCCGAGCTCTATAAGATATCTGGTACCAAATATCATTGTTGTCGAATGCATATTACGAATGTGAGGGACTTAAACACCAAATTGGATGAAACTTATATGTGGTAGCTATAGCTATATCTGAACCGATTTTCCCTAAATTTAACGCACTTGCTTCTAGACTGAATTTGGTTGGATGTGCCAAAATTCAGTACTTTTGGACTGATATTGACCATTTGGTGCAGAACTAACCCTAACGAAATCAGTTGAAGATATATGGGAGCTATATCCAGATCTGAACCGATCCTGATACAACTTAGCAAAGGTATTTTTGGGATGTATCTGATATCTGATACCAAATATAATTGTTATCGAATGGATATTACGAATGTGGGGGACTTAAACACCAAATCGAATGAAACCTACATACGGGAGCTATAGCTATATCTAAACCAATTTTCACCAAATTTGACGCACTTGTTTCTAGATTGAATTCGGTTGTATGTCTTAAAATTCAGGACTTTTGGACTGATATTGGCCATTTGGTGCAATATTAACCCCAAATCGGTTAAAGGTATATCTAAATCTGATCCGATTATCACCAGTTTCAAAAGGGTTCGTCTTTGCACCAAAGAAATGTTATTTGGAAAATTTTATCTCAATAATAAATGCGACCTACATTTCTTTCACAATAATACATGGACGGACAGACGGACTGACATGCATAAATCTACTCAGAAAGTGATACCATGAAAGTGATTCTATGATGATCCTCAAAAGCAACTATTTGTCTATCTCGCTTCCGTTTCCGTGTTACAAACAAATGCACAAAGACATAATAAACGTTTTGGTTATTCAAAACTTTGACCCTTTGAGGGGGAGGAAGCAGAAGGTATGGTTCGATCGATAGAAATATTCAGATGTTCCATGTCTAAATGGAATCGGATGTTTATTTTGCTTTTTATGAACTTAATGAATACTCAAATTTTCGACCTTTTGTGGGGGAGGTACCAGAAAGAGTGGACCGATATATTCCATCTTAGCCCCAGACTTTGGATTAATAAAATTATTGGGATGTGTGACATTTGAAGACAATCGGACTCTCACATCACATTTTATAAGAGTTGTAATTATTCAAAATTTTGACCCTTTGTGAGGGAGGTACTTGATGGAGTGGGCCGATATTATTTATTTTTGCACATGTCCGAGAACTGAGGCAAATATTAAGATTTGCAAAGTTGGAGCAAAATCGGATTATTGTTTCTCATTTTGTGCCTAAAATATTTTTTTGAAAATTTTGAACTTTTGTGGGGGAGGTACCGGAAGGAGTAGACCCATACATTTAATTTTATGCACAAGTACATAATACCCTTATCACTATGTGGTGTTGGGTATGAAAATGTATATAAAAATTCTCCAAAAACAAAAAAATAGATTAACAGATGCCAAAAATATTATGACACTAAGAAAAATCGTTAAAAAAAAGAACTAAGATTTAATGCAGAAAATATTATGTATTAAAATATTATTTTCAGCTTATACTTTCCATTCCTGTTCATCCTACCAACCTCTTTTACTTAGTGCATCCATAGAAGGACATCTATTAAATAGTTTTCCAAGCAATTCTGTGCATGCCATTATTAGACTTTCAAGTTTATTTGCGTTACATGCCCGAATACATCCCCGAATTTATCAACCCAATCCATTTTCACTCTATCCCTTTCGTTCAGTAATTTTTCACAACCATTCAAATGATCAATTAATTCTTTTCTTTCTTAAAATAAAAATCCCAAGTGCCTAC